GGAACCAGTCCCCTCTGAGGAGTGATACAGGTTGAATTTTGTTCTTGATACATTCTGATTTGGTTGTTTTACCCATGTGCTAACAATACCAGCTACAGCAGATTCTTTTGAAGATACCAGAGAAAAGAAAGAATGAAAGTCATTATGATTGTATCTTGGGTAAAAGATGCAGATTGATCAAATTCATTAGTTTAGCTTCATGAAACAAGTTGCTTTTTAGCTTTCTCAGTTTTGTGAATTACTGTCTACAAATCTTTCAATTCTGGTTAGATTTCAGCTGTTGTGCATATTCAGTTATAGAAATTCAACTATGGAGATCAGAATAAAGCATATGGTATCTATACAATACTATGTAAATGAATGGGATTGGATAATTCTAACAGAAAGAGATTTGATTGTTAATATAATACCATTGACATGAGTAAAAATTAGATAGAAGAATCAAAGCACCAAGAAACTTCCTGAAGTATTAAGGAATATGTACAGGAAAAAGATGGAGTGACTAGACTTTACCCTCACCTTTAAGACCTTCCTACTCAAGAAGATCCTGGTGCTTTGCTTTTTCTGTTCTTTATTCTGCAGTAGATTGAGGGAGTGTTTAATTTAGCTAAAAGTGTATGACACCTTTCTGTGCATGTTAAGCAGATAGATCTCTTTAAGACCATTACTACACTGCTGGCAAGTACAATTCATCTATAAAATGGCTTGAGGTGAAACAAACTGGTATGACTGTTATATTTACACAGAGATTACTTGCAGCCATGGGTCTGTGGTAAGAGGGAAGCAACTTCAGAATCAGTTTCTGGGAAGCGGAAGAAATCTGACTTTTATGGGAGATGCAGATATGAAGGATCCAAGATGCAATATTACCTGGACCTCATGAAAGATGGAAGTTCATCAAGAGTGTTGTGGCACTTGGGAGTCACAGGATGAGGTGCTAAATAGTTCTGGAGTAAAATAACTTCGTGACTCAGCAGTGGAGTCAGGAGTGCCTCCTGATCTGACACAGTCCTGCTGAAAAGACTGAAAATGCCCACCCAGTCAGAAGATTGCAGGGGAGCTGGTCAGGGCCAAAGCTGTACTTGACCTTTACCTTTATGCATCCTGGATCTGTTTGTTTATGAAACTGGCTGATCAGGATAATGTATTCACCCCTTGCCCAGAGTAGTTTGATTTATATGGACAATACAAAAATGATCAAACATTATCGGACAACGATTAATGTTGTTCTCTTAAATATAAGGGTCCAACACGAGTTTACTTACAAACATTTGTATTGCCACGCATTATTATGAATGAATCTAAATGAAAACGTACTGGATTGTCTGGACTAGGCACATACATCTTTCCTACCATACATTTTCCAGGATATTAATGGAGAGTTTTCTGGTTTAGATTCAAATATTTAATCCAAAAATTTGAGTTAAGGTTATGATCTTAGAAGTACCTTCAGTTCAGGACTGATTTAGGAGTGGTGGTGTGAAACTTTTACCATTTGACTAGAGTGTTCTTTGTTCTCTTTATTTCTAGAGAACTAAGTGACATTTAGATTTCTGTTCCATGATGGTCAGTAGCTGGTTTTGTGGTCAGGTTATTATGGTTGATACTAGGAATGTGGTTGTGATTCACACTTTGATGAACTGGAAGCATAGGCAAGACAAGGGAGCAAATAATCACAATGCTTTCATCAGAGCTGGCATCCAGACACAATCCATTGCCACTGGTTATCACTCAGCTCTGGCCTTGTGGCTAATACTGCAAGTTCTAAAAGCCTGGAGTATCTAGTCCATCCATACAAAGGAGCAAAAAGAAAAGAAAATAATGAAGATACTCCTGAATTTAAAGGACTTTATGTAGACGAAGAGAGTGTATGTAAGCACAAACAATAAAAACTTTAAGTTAGAATATGTGAAAAGAGAGAACATGTTTTCCACTTATGTTCTCTCTGTTTCCAGTTTGAACACCCAGAGTTGATTTCATGGCTTGTATATTCAAGCGAGACTTGTTCTATGAACTGAATTTAGCTGGAGTGTTCTCAGGGATCTACCTTTCATCTATAAATAACAGCAGTTCTATTATGGTTGTCTTGTTTCATCCCTTATGTTTGCCTAGTGAAAATATGTGATCAGCTAAAGTATGGTTCTTTTTTTGTTTGTAAGTTTTATAGCATCAGTAATAGCTTTTGAACATGCTTTTATCCTTCTCCTTCATCTTCTTCCATCAGTAACTTTTATCTCAAAAAAACTACCCACAGCACATTCTGCAGTCTGTTTTCTGGGTCCAACTGAGAACAATTACAGGATGGTGTCTTGATAGATTTTTTTTTTTTTTTGGTATGCTTCATTTCAACATATCGACATTCTCTTTGTTTTAATGTAGCCAGTGAGAAATAGCAGGAGGAGAACAGCAGAAGATGCTGTTTTGACTATTGATTTTCTTGTGCCTTTTGTTGTTCATTAATTCCTCTAACAATTGCTTCTGAGGTGGCTGTCTGTGTGTGACCACTACTAGCCAGCAGAATAGGGTCTGTCATGGCTAGGTGCGGCCATAGCTAATAATGTCAACTTTACTTTCTGAATTCTTCTACCAAGGAGTTACAATTTAGTGTGGGACCAATACTGAGTTCTCTACAAATAGTGAAATACCTTACTTTTGAATATGTCATTCTTACTCTTCCACAGTGCTTGTAAATGCCAGAAGTGCATAAGCCAGCTGTTTCAAAACACAGACAAGAGGGCTGAGACAAATGGAACATTGCAGAGAGGAGGCCTGTCTGGGAATTATTTGTATGGAAGCAGTATTTTCACTACTACCACTAGTATTGGCTGGTATTGCTCTCATGTCCCTACCAGCTATAAGAGAACTCAAACCTGTCTAGTACTGTGTATCATGATTGTTAGAAAGCACCAGGCTGAAGTGAGACTCTTACTAATTCTAAAATCTCTACAGATAATGCATCTTGCTGTAAGCTAGAAGAGGGTGCATTTTGGAATGCAGAAGGGAATTACTGTTGTGTGTAGAAGTTGAGTGAAGCAGTAGTGAAAATAGAACAATATTTGTAAAGCTGTTTCTCTGGCTTACGAGTCCCTTTTCTTCCTGTAATTTTTGAGGAAGAGAGCCGTGATAATAGATTTGTGAGAAGTTGCTGATTTTATTCCAGTTGTAATTATTTCATTAGCAATATCTGCATGTTCTATATAGAGTTTGGATTTTTTTGTTTTCACAACCTAGGCAATTATCACAGTAGAACTTCCAGGACACCACGTATTTTTCCAGATGGCTTTTCCATGGCTCTAAACAGCCTCAGAATACAGTTGAAAGGCTCTGGTTCACAGATGGAAAAGTGATTTGTGCACTGTCTGTAACCTATACTTCTTTAATGATATCTTATATGATATACATAATGCATGTAGTCTGTTTATCATGGGGATACTGTTAAGGGATGATAATATCCAGTCATTGATTCTATTGTTGATCTTCAAGAGAAATATTTTATTTAAAAGTAGAAAAATGTTGCTTGCACATTTGTCTGATTGCTATTTAAGTTAGTCTGTCATCCCTGGTCTGATTTAATTTTCTCTGACAGTAAAGGTTTACAAAATAGAAGAAGTCAGGTGTTATGAGAGAATAATGAAATTTACTTTGATGAGGAATATCTCTTTTCATGGATAAAAGAAAGAAACTATGTCAATGGCTGAAACCTATTAATAAATATTTGTCTCATCCTATTGTTTGTCTTGGTTGGTCAGCTTTTTCAAGATTCAAGTTACTATCTCTTAGAAGAAAAAATCATGCTCTTTGTCCCTACCAGCCTCGGAGCAGCTTGAGTAGACTCCATCAGGTTGGCTTTGTGCTTTCATTCTGTCTTTTCCCAAGTATGCAAAACAGGGTAGAGTGCAGGGGTTTGTTGATGGCATATAGTCCTGCCTCAAATTGCATAGACGTGTGCAGTCCCAAATAGCTTTGTGTAATATGTTCCCTAGCCAGTAGAGTTAATTGTCAAAGTGTAATTTTTCAGCATCTGGTGTTCTCTTTTGCTTGCCTAGAAGAAATCGAATTTAACCACTGAGAACTTTTCTCCAACTGATGGCAGAAATATTTGTAATTGGTAGGTCTCTAATGTCTTGAGGCTTCTTCTGAGGAGAGTACTGCTGAGTTTTTTACAGCTAGAAGCCCTCTCCGTACATCATTTCAAAGCCCAGAGGTGTGTGAGACATGTGAGGGGAGTAGAATGAGAAATTTCTTCCTAAATAAATTTCAGCTGCAGTATTTTAGTGTTAAGGTCTCCTGAATGTGTGGTTGTTGCAGAAGTGGTTGGGTTCATACATAATGTCTCAATGTATAAATAAAAAACAAATGGCAGCCTTTTTAAAACAAGGATGTTTTAATTTCTGAAGGTTAACAAATCAGGAAATAGAAGAAGCAAAGCACTAACTTGCTTCACAACTTCAGCCATTCCCCATAATGTTTACATTTTGTGGTGATTTCAGTTTTTTTATATGCAGATTTTACATTATTGAAGATATAGCAGATACTGTTCTTTTGCTTTTTTGTGCTGTAAAATAATGACTTCTGTTGTAGGAATGCAATGATGTCATAGATGCAAAAGGTACTTTTACTGATGACAGGTGTAGAGCCTTATTTAGATAGGTATTATTTGACTTCAAGAGGAGTTTGTTTTGGTTTAAACAGTCTTATGATACAAATTTCACATATCTGATTCCGAATAATGCATAAATATGCCATCTGTAAATGCTGCCATGTTATCACAATGCACAGAAATGCTCACTAAAATTTTTCTTCAGTCATCCATCCTGACTCCATCTATAAAAATTTTGCATTAGATTTTATTTTGCTAACATTGTCTTCTGATACAAAGAAATGTTAATGTATTTCTTCTTAAATTAGGACAATATTTGATTTCTTTATCATAAGATACCTTCTTTACTACCAAGTTACTTAGGGCTTCCCACTGTATGTATGTCTGCTTTATTTTCCAGGAAACCATTGTATGGATTGTTTCAATATAATTCCAGTATGATTGGACTAGAATCATTAGCTGATCCCTCAGATACCTGGGAAATTATAGAGACTATTGGGAAAGGCACTTATGGTAAAGTCTATAAGGTTGCTAATAAGAAAGACGGAAGCTTGGCAGCAGTGAAGATTCTGGATCCTGTCAGTGTAAGTAGAAAATGTGAAACTGTAACTTCAATGTTAATTTAAAAGAATTCTTAAACCTGAAATGTAAATCAAATGTGTAAGATACTGAGAGCATCCAGAAGGTAACAATTTTACAGAATGCATTTACAGAAGGATTTTAGTACCAGCAACTGAACGACAACTTAGAATTTGATCGTCTTATCTGAGGACAGCATTTGCCTAGTTTCTGTTTTAGATCTGTCTGATTCTTCTGCTACAAATCTAGTTATCTTCACTTGGAGCATGCAAATCATGAGAAGGCACAGAGGCATTCCTCATAGGGCCCACTGTAGCAGGGAAAATACAAGATGCTGTTAACCTTAATGTTTTTGTTTTATTCTGTGTACTCCTTAAAAGAATTGCTTTTCCCATCATAGAAACACTGTGAAGTTCAAGATATTTTAAAGTTACCTTTTATAAGCAGATAATAGTGTGAGGCAATAATTAAGATGAATAGAGCAGCAGACATCCCAGATCGTCAGAGGTAGTTCTATGCCAGCTCTGGTTTTAGTGGGTATTAAATGCCTATCTTCCCATGAGAACCAAGGCCCTAGTTTTCAATGGAAAATTTAACTGAGAGCTATTCAGGTTGGATCAAGCTGGAGTTTGATCATGACAGCTGGGCTAAAATATTGACTAAAAAATGTTATATTTTTGTCATCAGCCAGTAAAATTCAACTGAAATTCATCATTGTTTTCTCTTGTATGGATCTGGGGAAGGCACAAGCTTAAATTTTTTAATAGCCAAGTCTGTGCAGAAATTAGGAAAGTTTGAGCACTTAAGCACTGCTCTGAGTTGTGGCCTGTGAGCTGGTATAAACATTATTTTGTAATTGTCACAAAATTCTTTCATTAACAAGTACCTAGGAACCTTTTCTTATTTCATGGGTGGTTGTTTTTTCTCTCTCTCATTGTTTCTGGTTATGTCTTTGGTAATAAGAATGTATTTTGTTTTATTGATGGCCCCTTTGAGGCATAGTGAAATGGTTCTCTGTTTAGTGCTATGTGATGACCACAGAAAAAGGAATAAATCAAAGGTTCATGTATTTACATTTAGCTCACATGTTAAAAACATGCATGATTTAAAACAGGTTAAAAGTCATACATGTGTAAATTTCTTACTTAGACAACTGAGCAGAGTTAAGTATAATTTTTAATTTTCTTGTTAAGTATATTATGTACAGAAAGAATTCTTGAAGAACAACTGCTTGACTTACATAGGCTTCACTTTTTCATATATAAGAAGAGCACAAGTGGCACAATTCTATATGCATTAAATGTCCAGTATAGTGTACTTTTAGCTGCATGAAAGTAAAACTATTTAAAAGTACAAACTAAGAAAAAAGTAGTTCTTTTTATCCATGAGAGTTTGTTCTTGCTTTATTTCGAGTCACTGTCTTTATATGTTCTGTATTTTGTGTTTTTTATTTAGGATGTAGATGAAGAAATTGAAGCTGAATATAATATTTTGCAGTTTCTTCCCAATCATCCTAATGTTGTTAGATTTTATGGAATGTTTTACAAAGCAGATCAATATGTGGGAGGACAGCTCTGGCTAGTACTTGAGGTAAAATAATTTTGGCAATATTACATCTTACCTTAGCGTACGTGGTTGAATTTTTGTTTGTTATTGCTAAAAGAGTCACAGGCTTTCATGATTTTCTTATAGATGATGTGTTGTAGCCTACTGTTGAAAATCACATCCAAACTTCAAAATTTGTTTAATAGGAAATGGTCTTGCATTTAATTTTTGTTTGAATTTCTACTTTCTGCCTCCAAAATAAGCAGCTTTTTTTTTTTTTTTTTTTTTGGTTTTTTTTTTTTTTTTTTTTTTTTTTTTTTTTTTTTTTGGGTTTTGTTTTTTTTTTGGTTTTTTTTCTTGTTAGAGGAAACATTAGATAAGACATTTATTTAAACTTTTTGGAGAACTCGAGCATTTGAGGGGAATGTAAAAGATGATGAAGTAGGGATGTGGAGGGTAGTTAACAAATACTGCAAAAGTGAACAGAGAAGGTGTAATGGGAAGGTCTGTTTTATGGTAATTTTAAACTAGGGGCTGGTTGTTGGAAATCTAGCAACAGGAATGCCTTCTATTCACTCTTCTTGTTCAGTGCCAGTCAGTACTCTTACAATGTCAAATGCATTTTGGTGGTCTTGTTTCCACCAAAGTTAAGTGACTGCCAAAGGTGGTTACAAAATGAGGATTTCTTTTTAGGCTTAATTGATGCAGAGCTCTGCACAGGCAGTTACTGCTCTGATGAGCAGTAACAAACCATTCAAGCATTTCTTTCTTTCATAACTAGACTTTTACCAAAGCTAGGATTCACTTTTTAATTATTGATTGTTTTAAAAATTCCACTCCCTGTTCTTGAATGATGACTAGAATCAGAATAGGGAGTCTTTATTTCTACTACAAATTGTGGAATCCCAACAGAACATCTAACTTTGATGTACTGGAGAATATGTAGCTTGAATGACAGCTTTTGAATGTCTTTCCTCTCAAATTTCAGTAACTATTGAAAAGTGACCTTAGTATTTTTGATTGGTGTTGGTTTTTTTGTATGCAATGCTGTCTTTGTGTTGAGTTTGGGCTTGGTTTCCTCTTTCCTCTGTGTTTTCTTTTTTAATAAAAGAGTCTTGTCTGTAAAGATCCATCAAGTGCCAAATGACAGAATTTTATGGAACAAAATCATCATATACTCTGAAATAAAACTGAATGTAAAATTTGAACAAGTTGTATGTGTGTGTACTTCATGAATTAAGTATCTGCATTTCAGGTGGCTTTTGGTGCACATAATCCAAAGTTTGGAAGAAATTTGACGTTATCAAAAATCTGTTTCCCTTACATGGAAAAAATTATTGGACAACCCAAACTATTCATTGCCTTGCAATTTACAGCATATTTTTGCATGCATAGCAATGACTTGTGATATTATAAATTAATGACTCATTTTCAGTAAAAGGGAATATACAAGGTATTCAGACTTTGATCCCTGAGTCTTTGATGAAATACATACATTTGATGTGTGACTTCCAAAATTTGTAATAAAATGGTGGAATTTTTTTTTCCTTTAGGCACAGTTTTGCCATGTTTACTCACTACAAGCAGGACCTTATTTTGATAAATGTTTGTGATGAGGAAGGGTGGCAAAATCGGACACCTTAAGTATTTTTATGATGATGCAAGTCTTGGACAACTGTAAAGCAAACTTCTCGACTTTTTGATATAAATGTGCATCTCGCCACCTGTTAAAGTATTACCATTAGGTGTAAGGTGGTAATGAAGCTTTCAGATTCATTTTTTTCGAGGTCTTTGCTGAGTTTCAAGAACAGTGTCACAGACAGCTGTAGTAGTGTTTGTGGGATATATTTTTGAGTCAGGCGTTCATTTACCATATCCTACCAAACAGCTGCCAGTCTGTATTATTTTTCAGTTGCAACCAGCTTGGGTTTGTTTTTTTTTTTTTTTTAAGTTAGAGCATACTTTTATGTATTTTATTTTTGGGCTAGAAATAAATTTAGTATAGTCTGTCTAAACAGAACATTTAATGCAATGAAAGCAATACAAAGAAAACTTCAGCGTAATGATTTGTCAGCAAATGGTTAACCATGGGAAGAAAAACATGGAATTTCATGTAAATGCATTTGATAGTTGATACTGACCTGAATGCTCCCACAAATTTATGAAATAAATAAGAAAAGCATTCCCTGCTAATGAATTAAAAAATAAAGCCAAATTCCTACAGAACTCATCAAAGTTTTAAGTGATGAAATTTTGCTTCAAGGTCCTTTTCCATTAACTCAAACTTCTAGTCTAGTGAAATTTTTTTTGATGTAAAGGTAAGTTAGTAATAAGGTAAGGAAAGTATTAGCATATAACAGAAATTAGTGGTTGAACTAATGCAGTTTTTCATAAAAGCCATCTGAAAGATGCAAATCTTGAGAGTTTGTATAACTTCATACTATTCTCCTGATTTATGCTGTGGTATTTTAAACTAGTAATATTCAATGAACTTGTGTTGAAATGCATGTGATTCTCTGGCAGAAATGTTGGTAAGGGTACTGGCCACAACACCGGCATAGAGGAGAAAATTCAGCGAAAGAAAGGCAGTAAATTCTCCCATCTTTTCTTTTTTGGTCAAACAATTGTGAATATCAAGGTGATTAAAGGAAAGAATGGGGAGAAAGGATATCAATACCTGCTTAGAATGGTGTGGACAGCAAACTTAAGGTGTGGATGAGAACATATTTTCAAATATTCTAATTTTACTTTTCCTCTTTTGATGTTTAGCAGCCCATTAGTAGAAAATGCTTGCAAGAAGCTGCTTCTCTAGATTATTTTTCTCTGTTATTGACAGTATATGGCATCAAATCTGAGTATAGAGATATGGCTTCTGTCTATTTTATATAGCCTGCCATCAGGAGCATTAATGAAATGAAAGTTTAAAATTAGTAATTTGTTGCTTCCCAGTTATCAAGAGCATCAATGTTTTCTGTCTGGTCTTTGCACAGAAGGATTTTTTTCAAAAAGACAATGCACGTATTGTGAAAATACTCAAATAATGTAAATTGGATTTATGAATCCTCTTTTGAAATACAGTCCTCTTCATATTATTTTTATCTTTTTTGTTGCATTTTATAAATTACACTTTATAATTTTCAGTTTTTTCTTCCCTCCCCTTACCCAGGCTGCTGTGATTTATATTAACATCTCTAATAAAATGAGTTCTGTTGTTCCCAGACTTGTGTTGTAGCACAGTTTTGCATGGTAGGTGTTCATAGCCTAAGCATGTATATTGAGTAACTGCGGACTTGCTTTTTTTCCCTCCTCACAACTCCCCCTTTCCAGCTGTGCAATGGAGGTTCTGTCACAGAGCTTGTCAAAGGCCTGCTGAAGTGTGGCCGAAGACTGGATGAAGCTATCATCTCATACATCTTATATGGTGCTCTCTTGGTAAGGATGTTCACTGGGCTTGTAATGACAGCAATTCACTTATTGCATACATACATTTTCCATTTATAGAGTGTGGTAATGTGCACAATATTACATGAGCTGTTACAACAGCAGGGGTTGTATAAAGGCATGTAATCCAGTGGACAGCTGTTTCTGTAGAGTGTGTGCAGATTTTCTTCATTACATTCCCTAATAGCAGGGTAATTGTTTTAAATAAGGGAATAAACTTATTTTTGTTACTGCTGGTATATAGGGCCTTCAGCATTTACACAATAACCGGATCATTCATCGTGATGTGAAAGGGAACAACATTCTCCTGACAACAGAAGGTGGAGTCAAGCTCGTTGACTTTGGTAATGACCACTTCCCCTTTGTTTTCTTGATACATGCAGTTTAGCCAAAGGCCTCTGTTTACTTTCCCCTGGGAAGGCAGAATGTCACATCCAGACTTTTTCAGAAGCATACTCAGAATTATTTTAAGAAGGAAAAATGCAAAAGGAACCTGATTACACCAAGAATAAAAATTCTAACTAAAAATCAGTAATAGAGTTATAATTTTTAAAAGCTTAAACATAATTTAATAATTTTTAAAATTCTGAAGCTAGCATTTTATTTACAAAGCTCTTTTGCATTTTTGAAAAAATGTCAGTTTCAGGGCAGTTGTCCTCCTAATTTAAATTTCAATATTCTGTCTTTTGCATATGAAAAGGAAACATTCTTTCTGAAATGGCTTTTGATAGCCTTAAGCATATTTTTTTCCCCTCTGAGCAGAAGGTAAAATAGTCCCTTGGGTCCAAAACCCAACATGCATTTAATTAGTGATTATTGCTTTTAGATTTGAGCATTGCCAGTCTGGGTATGTCATAAGAAACAAGAGAGAGAAAGGGAGGGAGGGTGGTAGAAAGGCACTTGACAATAGGTTTAAAGTCAGTTCCAATTTTATTCCTTTGAACATGCACTTACAAGAAAAAAAAAAAAAAGCTTTTGTCCCTCACATATGTATGCAAGGGACTGGACAATTTTATTAAAAGTAACAGAAACAGATCATCATTTATTAATGAAACCATATAATGCATAAGGTAATCACCACTGAAAATAGTGTATGAATGATATGTTTGTTTAGCAGTGCATGAAGGTAAGGAAAAATGTTCACAAAATGAGTGTAGGGTAGAATGGTATGTCAAAAAAATCTGCAAATCATATTTTTTTTAAATCCTAAAATATTAAATTTATGCAGTAGAAAGAAAATTGGGTACTGGTGATGTCATGGTATTATAAATTTAACACACATATGTACTGAAGATGCTAAAGTAAGCTGTCACATAAGAGATTCCTTAGTATCTTCTAGGGACAAAATTTCATTTTTTTTTAATTGTAAAGGCAGCAATTAAAATAGTGCTAGGAGAAATGCATGAACTGAAGCAAAACTTGGAGTGAGTCCCTGACCTAATAGAAGAGAGGAAGACCCCTTCTCATTTGGGGGAATTTTGGCAGTCTAATCTTTGTTTTTACTCCATTATGGGAAAAGTTGGCTTTTCTCCCCAAAGCAAAATGGTTTTATCAGATGTATTAAAGGCCTTAAACACAGACCAGTGTGCTCCAACCCCAAGTGGCACTTCAAGGAAACTGAGACTCCCAATCTTTCTGGTGTCCCATGGGTCTCTCTGATTCTATATTTAGGTTTCAGGGGTTTTCTCTTACTTTGTATGTTAGGACAGTAGCTCTAGAAAATCACAATGAATATGACAGGCTCAGAAAAAAATGAGACTTAAATCTCAAGTGTTCCCTACTGCTTAACAGTTAGGAAATGCCAAGGAATGCCAGTATATCTATGGGCTTTCTGACTAAAGAAGTATCAGGTGCCAAGCTTTTATTGAGTTGCTCTATTTCCTGTGTTAGTCCACTGCTAGAGCCACAGAACAGTCTCTGGGAATGATCTAGGACTGAGTCACGGGTGATATTGTTTGTAGAACTGTTTTGTCTCATTTTTTGCAGAAAGTAGAAGATAAATAGTGGAATTGCAAGGAATTCAGGAAGAGAAGGGACTCACAGTTGAGACAGTTGAATTACATCAAATTAGAGATTATTCTTGCTTCTGCTTGTGTTTCTCTGTGATGCTGGAGGGTCACTTAGATCAAACTCAGTTCTTCATTTTCCCAATAGTCACTTTGAAACATCTTATCCTCCTTTCCAGAACTGTGTGTTCTTGAACTGCATCTGAGATCTGTTATAGCTCTACTTGAGGCTTGTGGAGTGCCTCACGACTGAAAGATCTCAGATTAAGTACCCAAACACAGTGGATGCTTTGGATATTTTTAGGTTAATCCCTGGAAGTAATAATCCTCTGCCATTTTGTGGGAATGTTAAGTAGATTAGTTGCTTGGTGAGTGGGGAAGAAAATATGTCAAAAGAAAAAAATAATTTTAAATTTAGTGTAGGGTTGGATATATTAAATAAGAAATGAGAATTCAAATCAATGGGGTTAAAAAATTAAATTATGACCTATTCATATGACCTGTTATGACTGAATGTTATCCATTCAGTCGAGAAAATGAGGCAGAATCTTGATTTTAAAAAAGCTGCTTCATATTCAAGGCTGTAGATATGGATATTAGGTCACAGGGAGGGTTACACAGATATCTTTAATTAAGGCTTTTCTTTACTGGATGACTTTACAGTTTGTTTTTTCAACATAACACACATTTCTTCCCTCAACTGCTGTTGACAGCATAATATATTTGAATAAATGATGGTCACAGTAAATTGACCTAAAATGTCTGCAACTTATCATTCATTTATGCTCATGCTCACCCTCTCTCAGCTCTTTGGTATTCTGCACTGTTTTGGAATATCCCTAGATAGCAGCTGTGAATTAAGGTGACTGAAGAGAGATCGCAGTGAAATGAGTAGTGTGTGCTAGCTGTTAACTGTTTCCCAGCAGTACTCACAAAATCACTGAAGACTTGCAATTACACTGAAAAATTAAAAACAAATGTAAAATTGAATGTTGGAATCAGAAATCAAACTATTTAACTTACTAGTCTAATTTTTTTATTTATTGGCATCAGTCAATGTCTATTATATGTGTTTCTGCTCATTTTTCTCTCTGGGTAATGCCAAAAGAGCAAACCACTATGGTTTTTGTTTTTAAAAAATATTAAAGCAAAATGTATTTCTAAGTTAATATTGGCTTTGTGTGACCTCACTGGACTGCTACTGAACTGAACTCATTCAAAAATGTGTTGACCAGAGCACAGAAGATTGGCTGTCAATGTTCATTCTGATTTGTTAACGTTGTTTGATTGCACACTAGTTCATTCTTTTGGTTTTTTCAGTTGTGCTTCAGTAGTCCAGCCCCAATCAGCAAAGCTCTGAAGCTGATGTTTTGTTTTAAGTATGTGTTTAATTCCCTAAGTACAAGCTGCAGTGTGAGCTTGAGCTTCTGAGCTTTTCTCATTAGGGAAAGATTTAAGCAGGTGCATAAGTGTTTTGTTGAACAGGATCCCCTGCAGGTATGCTAGTGAACAAATTCCCAGTTTGTGATGTTCAGGCAGTGCATTTCTGAAACAAAAGTTTTAAAGTCAAGCTGTAATTGTAATAGTTCCCATTTATACTTAAGAAAATAGCGGAAAGAAATCTGGGATATTTATGTGACAATGGAATTTTTGAGTTTGAATAAAAGTGCTTCAAACTGAAAGTCATTCACAAAAAGAAGAATCTCTGATAAACTCTGTAGAAAACAGCAAGCTGAAATCAATTAAACAAATAATTTGCACCTACTTTGGCTAGGCATTCTGCAGCTGTGCTCACAGGTTTGGGTTTTGTTTTCCAGATACTTGAAATAAACTTTCCGAAATGTCATTGAATTTGAAGCCAAGTCTCTTTAATCTGTTTTGTTGCAGGTGTTTCAGCCCAGCTCACCAGCACACGGCTGCGTCGAAACACCTCGGTGGGAACACCCTTTTGGATGGCACCTGAGGTAGGCAAATGTGCCTGTCTGGCTTGTCTCCATTCCTGGCAATACACATTTTGTTGCCACTTCCCCATGGTAGGACAAGTGTTGAAACAGGAGTTGTCTGTTTGTAAGTTGTCCAGCCTTTGTCACAGTACAAGCCTCTTTTCTGTTAAAGGCCATGTGAGTTTTGGGGAATTTGGGATGGAATTTATCTATTACAAATGCACACAGGTCTACTTCTGTAGTTTGAAGATTTAAAAGTATTGTGCAAACATTTGTTTTAAAACATTTAATAATTTTTATGCATCTGTTTTTGTTGCTAAGGAAGGCTGATTATGGCTGAGGAGAGAAAATACGCTGCTGCAAGGGGTCTAAAATTGATCTTGCACAGTCTCACAAAGAATGGTTGATATTTCACCATCTCCATAACAACCAGTTTACGTCACAAAGGAGACACGAGATACCTTAGAAACCACTGTGAAAATATTATTTATGGAATCACCTTGATTTGAGACATTTCTAAAATGAGACCTCTATAAAATACTTCTCTAGATAATAATGGACATATTATGAAAGATTTTATTGAACATGGATTATAATAGGTTATTTTCATGGCACTGTTCTGCTTGAATAATTGCCATCAAGGGCAGTAATTATACTAAATTTATTTTCCCTGCCATGTTGAAGGTATTTATTCTCGTGGCAGAAAGCCAAAGAGATAAGCAGATATTTTGATCTGAAAAATTTTGACCTGAAAGTACAGCACACATGTAATCGAGGTATGTTATGTACGTGGCATACCAAACAGGAACAGGTGTAGCTTTGAATTCTTGCTCTTTTGAAAAGATCTGTTGAAAGAACCGACCCAGTACCATAGGCATAGTAACCCATATTACATTTGCATGCCATGAGTCACACCAGGCTTCATAGGTGTGCCAGTACAGCAAAACAGCTGTAAGGGGCTTAGATATCCATTATGCTGTTGTGGAAACGGCTTTTAAATGACAGGTTGCATAACATGCTTGCTCAAATCACTGCAGTTGCTCATATAAATGACAGGTTTCAAGTGATGTGCAGGATGCAATTTACTTTATTTCTGGGGAGATCTTTATGGTATTTTAAAAATATGCACCCAAATTTTTATGTGAGAGATCGAAGATTAGGACTGCAATAAAACAAAAAGAAAATGAAAAGGTGTGCTTGGGTAACAGTTTATTAGGAAGAGTGTTTTCTAGATGAGATTGCGGTAAAATCAGTTAACACTAAAAAGGCACTTAAGGCAGTTTTTTGTACTCATTTACAAAAAATCTTTTTGCCTAAAGGTTTTTGACATAGGATAGAATTTATTTCAAACCCCAAAATATCATAAAATAACTGAACAAGAATGAAATGTTCCTAATCAGTGAAATAAAAAACATGTAGGCTTTTTTTCAATTGGACTTCATCTGCATGTGAAACATAGGTACCTCAGTCAATGCATAAGGTAATCATGGGATCTCATCTGGCAGTGAGAAGGGTGCATTTAATCTGAAGGGGGAGTGAAGAGGGGAGATGAAAAATCTTGCCTTGGAAGGAGAGACTACAATAGTGTTTCAGAGTAGAATATAGCTGACAGGAAATATTTTCCAGTGTAAACCGCAAGAAAAGAAAACCTGGAGAAGAATTATGCAGGATGTTTCAAGCTGACAGATGGGAATAACTGGATATAAGCAGGAGACAAACACGCTGAAAACTGGAATCACTAGATCAGCCTGGGCCACAAATGGTCTATAAAATGAAGAAAACCATATTTTAAGATTAAGTTTGCAAAACATTTCAAAGGGATTATAAGGCATGGCACTTAAAATAGCAGAAGCTCATAGGAAAATAGCATTGTCTGAGGGTGGTGTAAGGAAGGTATTCAACTCAATGTTCTTACTGACAGCATTCAAACTAGCAGCTTAACTGCTTAATATTTGAGTGACTCAAGCACCTTGGCTCCTTTTTTTCTGATGACTGAGGCTTGCTTAGCAGTATCAGGACAAAAAAGATCTGTCCTTGAGCATTTGTTTTGAGCAGAGCTTGTGATTCACAAAAATTTTTCTGAAAAATGAAAATACAGGTAAAAATTAGGCTGTGAGGAAGTAACAGAGAACGTGACAAGGATAAGTCAGTTTGAGAACAGCTTTAAAGAGGATTCACTGAAAATTAATAATTGTTGTTTAACCTAATTAATATTTTTCATACTTACAAATGTAGACTCTCAGAAACTGAAACACTTAATACAAGCATACCAATAAAAGATAAATAAGGCAGGATAGTGTTAGTATGTTTAAAGCTGCTTATTATCAAACACTTAAGTTACCTAAAATCTGCTTCTATTGTGCTAGGTATTAGATAATAGATAAATAAATTGTGTTACATGCTAGCAGGATGAATCAGATTTGAAGCTTTTGTACTGAACTGCCTTTACATCTGTAGTTCTAAGCATCAACACGTCTTATTTTCAACTTCCATTGCACAGCTGAACAAAACCTAGTTCAAATAGAATTGCAGATTTCTTTTTCCACACATATGAGTAGATTATCATGATCTAGCTCAAAACTTGAATCTTGAAACAAACTCAGAGTATCACAGAATAACAGGGTTACACAATCAAGTAGATGGAAAAGACCTCTGAGATCATTGAGTCCAGCCTATGACCAACTATCATGTCAACTAGACCAGGGCACTGAGTGCCACATCCAGTCTTACCTCAATCACTTCTGGGGATTGTGCCTCCACCACCTCCCCGGGCAGTCCATGTTTAATGTTTATGTTTAATCACCCTTGCTGTGAAGAAATTCTTCTTAATGTGCAACCTAAACCGTCCCTGACACAGCTTAAAACAATGACCTCTTGTCCTGGTTCAGATTGCCTTGAAAAAGAGGCTGACCCACCTGGCTACATCCTCCTTCTAGCAAGCTGTAGAGAGTGGTGAGCCTCCTCTTCTCCAGGCTAAACCCCCCCAGCTCCCTCAGCTGCTCCTCACAGGACTTGCTCTCCACACCCTTCACCACCTTCACCCCTTTCTCTGGACCTGTTCCAGCACCCCAATGTCCTTTCTGAGCTGAGAGGCCCAGAACTGGACACAGCACCTGAGGTGTGACCTCACCAGTGCCGAGTACAGGGCGACAGCCATTGTCCTGGCCCTTTTGGCCACACTGTTCCTGATACAGTCCAAGATGCCATTGGCTTTCTTGGCCACCTGGGCATGCACTGGCTCATGTTCAGCTGCTGTTGACCAGCACCCCAATGTCTTTTCCCACCGGGCCATTTTCTAGTCACTCTGCCCCCAGCCTATAGTGCTGCATGCTCCCCTTATTCAGATCATCATAAAGATATTAAACAGGACTAGGCCCTGCACTGATATCTGGGGGACACCACTAGTGACCAGACACCCACTGGATGAGTACCATTCTCCACCACGCTCTGGGCCCAGCCATCCAGCCAGTTCTGAACCCAGTCCAACACCTGCCCAAGCTGTGTGCTGCCAGCTTTTGCAGGAGTATGCTGTAGGAGGTTGTATCTTAAGGACCATCAAGTCCAGGTAAACATCCTCACCCACTAGGCAGATCACCTGGCCAAAAAAGGAGGTCAGGTTTATCAGGCAGGACCTGCCCTTCCTTCTGGCTGGGTAGGATCCCTTGGTATGCCATGTGATCACACTCAAGATGATGTGCTCCATGTACAGATATATGTACATGTTTGGCCCAAATTTAGTTTTAAGAATGGATAGAAAATGATACTTAAAGTTAGAAAGAACTGGAGAGATGCTGAACATAATTTAAAACTGAAGGGAATATGCTGTTATATTTTACTGATAACGGCTAAAAATTACACTGGTGAATGTATATTTATATTTTAAAAGGAACATATTTAAAACATACTTGATCCTTTGAAGGATTATGTGTTGAAATATGACACATGAGTAGGAAAGGCTGTGATACTGTGGTCAAGATCTAAGAATTCTGTAATAATGAGTTAACCAGAGGTGAAATCTTGGGTCTGTTTTCCTATTTTCAGAGATATTTCAGATGTCACAGTATTATGTAAAGCTGTTTCAACTCTGTGTTTTGAATATTTGTTACCATGCTGGCAGCAGGAAGTAATGATCAGTAAGATTGCTCCAGACACAGTTTCCCTTTCTCCTGCTGAATCAACGCATTCTCCTGGGATAAAATTCAGTACATCTGAGGATCAGAATAAATTTCCAAAGTGTTAGAACAGTAGGTGAATAGTTTAAATTGTCTTTCTTTTCCCAATGTCCCTTTGTATTCGTTTTTAACTTTAAATCTGATCATGTGTGTGTGAAGTAAGTCTAATCCTGAAACAATGAATAATATTTGCATTGTTTTAGTACAAAATTATGTGTCTGCATTGTCTAATAAAAAATTAACAAAACTAGATGGTAAAAAAGCACCCCCATAAGTAACTTACATTAATGTAGTTTAAAAATATGCAAAGAGAAAAAAAAAATTTGCACAAAAAATCACATTAACTTTGCTGCTGAAGCCAATATTTATTACAATAAGGGCTGCATTTAAGTCTTAGAATTTGGGAAAAAAATCATTTAATTGTAAATACATTTAAATACTGAATTGGGAAAACAGCATAGAAAAGATAATCCCACCACTAACCTGGGCCTTTTGAATCAGAATCCTAGGTTTGGGTTGGAAGGGACCTTAAAGATCATCTGTTTCCAAGTCCCCTGCCCTAGGAAGGGACACGTTCCACTTGACCAGGTTGCTCAGAGCCCCATCCACCCTGCCCTTACACACTTCCAGGGATGGGACACTTCCAGCTTCTGTGGGCAACCTGTTCCAGTGTCTCACCACCCTCACAGTAAAGAATACTTTCGTAATATCTGATCTAAACCTACTCTCCCTCAGTTTGAATCCATTACCTCTTATTCTGTCACTATATGCTCTTGTAAAAAGTCCCTCTCCATCTTTCCTTACATGTTTTTAATTAACTCTAAACAGATACAGTGATACATTCTTACG